TTAATAAATTTTTCATTTCTACTTCTTTCAAATATAAAAGTCTGAGGACTACCAAATAATCATTAAGAACATAACTTTTTTTAAAGGGAAATTTCTTTTCATAAAGTAATCCTACAAATTAATACAAATCCTATAAAGACACACAAAAAAATCCTCATATGTAAAATAACAATCAAAACAATACCCAATATCAAATATTTAACTATATATATTTAACTATATATTCAATTAGAAGGTTTCAGAGTAAAATTTCCATCTCTTGCCCATTTAAAGGCAAGTTTTTAAAAAAATATTCCACAAATAGATATTTTTAAGAGACTGTACAATTACTACGTTGATTTTAATACATCAAAGTTAACTTACGCTAATTAACAAACGCTAATAATCAGAAATAGTAAATTATACACACTGTTTAACTGTCCCTGCAGTAATACAAAATGATCATACATTATCTTAAAATAAATTTATATTTCCCCCTAGTTTGTGAAAATTGTAATAACCTTTCTACGTAGAATAACTTCTGGTTAAACCACATTCAATGGCTGAAATTCAAACCATCTCCCAGATGGAACAGCTGGGAAAAAGTAAAGAGGGTAGTGTTTATAATTCTGAACTTTCTGTTGATACTATAGGTAAGATGACCCAAAACTAAAAACTGGCATTACTGAAGTCTTGAAAATATAAATATGTAATAGTGAGAAAAAGTCGTTTCAGAATAAGGAAAATGCAATTTACAGGATCATCTATGACTAAAACTCTGAACTCAGCCTTCCTTATTTTTAAAAGTTTTACCCAAATTTCTGTAGATTACAAGGTAAACGTTTTAAAATCCTACATAGTGGGTGTATACATACATAATAGTACTAGGTAATATTTTATGCTTAATAAGTCTAGCAAATATTATTTGAAAACCCAATTTACATGAAGTATGTTGCACTACTGATTGCATTTTATAGAAAAGAAAACTGGGAACAGGAAAATTAAGTGATATTTTTAAAGTGACACTGGGTTAAGTAATGAAATTGAGAACATAAATCAAAATCAGACTTAAGTTCCAATTAAAATTTCTAATCATTACCTCTATTCTCACAGATCTTGGCACAAATATTTTTAAGATGCAGTAGTCTACTTATTTTTTTGCATGTACTTAATTTTTTTAATTACATGCCCTCATTAATATAAATCCAAGTAATAAACTTCTTAACCTCACCATGCTCTAAAATTAGCAATCCTTTGAGACAGCCCCTTGGGGTTTAACAGAAAATTAAATATTTCCCTTAATATCATTTCTTCAATTTTCATTTTTACTTATTTGTTCAACAGAGGAATTAAGAGCCTGTACTAAAAATCAGTGGAATCATTCAAGCTGTTCCCTCCATTTTTATAATATTCAATTATGCTAAAGGGAATAAAACTGTGTCCATTAGCCCAAAGTTGAGCTCTCAACCCATAGTCATCATGAAAATAATTTCTTCCTTTCTGTCTAATGCATAAAAACAAAACAAAAAACTATTAAAGCTCTCAAAAGATACTTTGAATGCTAATATACCTGCATGCTTAGCTCTTATCCTTTAAATCCCTTCTCTAAAGCCTTCTCTAAAAGTGGGGAGGAGGGGTATCATTCTTACCAAAGCCAGGTGTGAACAGTATAAAGCAAATTTGATTAACTATCCTTAAAAAAAAAGTCTGTGTCTAGCTCCTCCCTTTCTCCTTTATCCCAACATAAGCCTGAACTAACCCATAAGCTAGTTCTGCTCATATTAACTCACATTCCTTGTTTTTTACATCACCAAATCAAAATGATTTCAGAATGAAAACTCCCCAAGTACTTTACTCAATATCTTCTGTGATTCCAAATCAACTCAATTGCACTAACAAAAAGGAAAAAAAAAAAAAAAACTCTTGGAAGTTTAAAGTGTATGTAGTTGTTCTTTTATCAAAATAGAAATGTTCACAATTGACCCAAATAGAAACTGCAGCTTAGGAAAACCAAGCCTTTAATTCTGGATAACAATTTGTACCTAGAGAAAAATTCAAGGTAATGGTTTTCATTGCATGTGGACTTTAGACCAAATCCATTTATTTTGATTTTGCTGAAGTCTGGGTATAACCACTGGTGGCCTATGCTGCAGGACCACCGTCCTAGTAAGAGTATCTTATAACAAGGTGCTTTTGATACCTCAGTAACCGAACTACCTCCTTGGATGGGGTTCCAGACAAACCTGACCATAAAATTTTGGCATTTTAATTAGGTTTCAATGTTCTCGTTAAACAGTACAGAACAAATGAGATGACAAATTTTCCATTCAGTTAAAACATTAGTAGGCAGCACATAAGTGGTGCAGCTTTGAATTTAAGAAGCCCATAAATAATAACTTTGCCCCAAAACATGTTTGGAAAAGAGATAATTTAAGGAACACACTAATAAATCTTGTATTATGCTAAAAATCTGTTCCTAAATTGTTGTATGGCAAATGATTTTTCATAAATCAAATCACATTTTATAAGTTCCATAAAAAAGGCATTAATTATTTGAAGGCACCTTTTACTGAATACTTTTTGTAAAATATAGAATTCTCATATACCATAACTAACCACTATTTAACTTGTTTGGTAATCTTGTACTTGAAAATATCAAATTTCTTAAAGTGAACACAGCTGCTTTCATAGGCCAAGTTCATCCCAGCATTACTGTCCTTCTCCCTATTTCCCAAGTTTTAAAAATGTCACCCAAAATAACAGCTGTTCATCTGTGGTAGAATATATAAGCAATACTAGAAAAGTTGAAAAAAAATTAAGTGATTATTTTTTAATATAAAATAGAAGTGAATGTATTCCCAAAACGAGGTCAATTTATTATTTTTTATAATGATCATAAATGCCCAATAAAATTTTTTTTTAAATAAATCAAGATATGCATATGTCATGGGTCTTTATCACCTGGAGGAAACAAAAACTGTTTATCTCCATAAACACATGACCTCCATGATGCCACGAAGGTCAATGAGACCTACAGGAGGGGGACATGCTGAGTAAGTGCTGGTTTGCCCAATTCTAGGGTTCCCTTTAAAAAGAGAGGAGAAAAGTAAATAAAAATGTATTTATCTGTAACAGGAAATGATGTTTAGGTTGTAACATTCAAGTACCCCATCACAGGACTGTGTTTAGACACGTCAGCAACAGCCAATAGGAAGAGCAAGATGTAAAAGGGGCATCACCGCACAGAACCAGGGACAAAAACGGCTGCACAGAAAGAATTAACAAGACCCCGAACTGAATAATCGTCCCGTACACCTTGTAAAAATCCTTCAGTACCCTGGCTAGGTGCCACAAAGGCTCAATTTCAAAATGAGGGCTGTCGGTTGACAGAACTTTTTGAAAATGACAAACAAGCGAAGATCCATACTCAACAGAAGCAACGCTGGACAACATCAGAGGAGGCTTCGGTAAGGAGCGCGTTTGTGTGCGTGTATGCGGAACCTACCGGTTATCATCAAATTCACCAGGTAGGGCGTGCTGGCTGGTCTCTTATCCTTCGCCCAAGGCTCTTTCAGGCATTGCCTCAGCTGTCACAATCAGGCACCTTTCACAAACCAGACATTTTCTTGAATGAGATTTAAATTTTGAAACACATTACCCACTCGATATAATCTGTATAAGCTAAACGTACACTCACCCAAAAAAAAAAAACGTATCAATTTGAAACTATGCATTGTATTAGAAATTTCCAAATAACTTTCAAGTATCAAAAAAGAGACGTCGGCTATAGCGCTGGGTCATTTAAAAGGGACTCAGTGGAGAGGAGCTTAACTATGGATAACGCATTGGAACGTGTGGTTAACAGGCAGCACGCATTATAATAGAGGGAAATTAAAGAGTAAAAAAAAAAAAATCAGCAGCAGCGCTGGTTATTCCCACCCCGGCAGCGTACTGGGCCGGGAGCCGCCTTCCAAGGCCCTGCCAGGGAAGCTCCTGATTGGTGGGTGGCACTGGGTCACTATGACTCCTTCACCCTGGCAGTTGTACCTCCACTCCACTTTGATGGGCTCCAAAGCTGATGACAAAAAAAGGCGACTGCTCGAGCCTATCAAGGACTTCGGTGTCCTTCCATGTTTCTCCCACGGAACACAGAGCCTGACACCTGAAACGCATCAGACGAACACCACCTTGTTTCAGGGCTTTAGAGAGAGTTTTGTAGTTATTATTTTTGAAGTCCACTGGGCACAGGTTCAGTTGGGGGGCGGCGGTGTGAAAGATTAACCCATTTCCTGCATCAACCGGGAAGGGCTGAAGGCCATGCAAGCCAGTTCCCTCTCTTCCAAGTAACTTTTTTTTCCATTGTTTATTTATTTATTTATTTCGTATCGTTTAGTCCTAAAATAACCATCAGCAACAAAACATCCAACACTGGCACGGCAACGTCCACACATCGTGCCCTGGTGCTACCCACAGGCGGATTCGTGCCCCTCTGGTCCCCATCCAGGCGGGTCCTCCCGGTCCCCTCTCCCTTCCGCTCTGTCCTGCCTGCTTCCCCCTGAGTTTTGCTGTAAAATTCGCCACTTTTCGCTGGCCGGGGCAAAAAGCAAGGCTTGCCTGCTCCGAGGGCAGAGTTGCTCCTAACTGCCCGGCCAACGTTTCCTGGAAGCTTGCTGCGGGCCCCCGCGCGCACCTCGTCCGGCCCCGCGTCCCCTCCCCGCACTTGACCGAGCCCCAGAGAGGGGCCCACCTGCCTCCCGGCGCCTGTCCCACGCCCGGGCCACCCTGCCAACTCCGGCCCGGCCGCCGCACTGTCCCCGTCCCAGGACGCCGCCACTCCGGGGCCCAACCCCCCAGGGGCAGAGACGCCAAAACAGGCCCCGCGACGGGCGGACCCCGCGACGCCCCCCAGAGGCCGGGTCCCGAGCGCCTGTCAGTGCGCCCCCGGAAGGGGTGAGGCGGGGAACTGAGCTCTTCGGTCCCCTGTCCTCTCCTGACATCTTCCCCCCACCAACCGCACTCACCTGACGGGCTCTCGCCGAGGGGCTGGGCGACGGGGTCGGGGGTCGCGCGAGGAGGCCGCTCGCCGGTCCGCCTCGGCCCCCACCCTCTGGCGCCCGCTCCCGCTCCCGGCCAGCGCGCGCCCCGGGCCCGACGCGCGCCAGGAGCGCCGGGGGGAGGGGGCGCGTGAACGCGCGAGCGTCGGGGAGAAGGGGCACGGGGAGAGGGGACACAGAAGGTGGGTGCAGGGGGCGCGGCGAGAGCAGCGTCTCAGCGGCGCTGGCGGAGAGAAAGCCGCCTCGGCCGCGTCCGTCATGGCCCGCGGCGGCGGCTCCTCCAGCGTCCCCGCTCCCTCGCCTTTAGTTTGACCTTTCCCTCCAGTGTGTCTGAGGGAGAGCCGCGGGGCGCGCGCGCGTGCGCGCGCGTGTGCCTGTCTGTATGTGCGCGCGCGCGCGCGTGGGGAAAGGGCCGGGTTCGCTCCCTGACGCCTGACGTCACTGTCATGGCAACGGCCGCCCCTCCCCTCGCCTCCCATTTCCTGCCCCCGCCCCCTGTGCACGTTCCGGGGGCCTCACGTGCTCACTCACACGCACGCACGCACGCTGGGAGCGCGTGCGCCCAGAGCGCTGGGGGGGCGGGGTTGGGAGGTCATCTGGGCCTCCTCGTCGCCTTCCTGAATTGGAGCAGTCCAATAAGGAGAAGCCGTGGGCGGGGCGCGAGCTGCGTGAAAAATTTCCCGAGGCAGCGCGAAAAGCTTTCCTGAGAGACTGAGCAGGATGCTGGGTGGTGAAAGGTGTGCGTTGCCCCGGCGTTTAGGGAGGCGGAGGAAGCGGAGGAGGAGGTCAGGTAGTTGAGAAAAGGGAACCCGGGGCCCCAGTTTCGGGGAGGTTAACCGGTATCAAACCGGGACCGCGTAGTCAGGCAACCTCGCGTTGCAGTATGGCCCCGCCACTAATGCTGTGTGACTTTGGACGTGTTACTTAAACACTCTGAACTGAATGTTTTGCGTAAAATGGGATTAGTAAAACCTATGGTTGTTGTGAGGATTGGAAGAGAAGGTGGAAAACGCCTCACCTGGCACATGGTAAACCCTAAGTGCTTAGTTATTAGTGTGGAGCCCGCAGCCTCCTTACTTTATAAATGGGGACACAGGACGCAGAGAGGTTTAAAAGATTAAATGACCTGTTCGGTGTCGGGTAGCGGCAGAGACCCAGACTTCAAGTTCAGTGCTCTTTGTTCTACGTGCCCTTTTCTTAGGAAGAAGGAAAAAAATCGAGGAAAGCCATAAAGAGCATCCACTGCTATCTATGAATCTTAGTCCTTACCCACCCGACTCCCATCCCCGCAGAAGTTTAGTTGAGAACTTTGGATATAAGGGCTGAACAGCCTTGGTGCTGCTTTCGGAGGGTAGTTATTTGGCTTCTCTGTTTGCACCTGAGCAAGGCACGGAATAAGCTTTCTAAGTTCCTCTGGGGCGCCTAGGTTTCTTCTAAAGTTTTGGATGAAGTTAAAACTCTGTGACAAGAACCTCCAGGTCCTCTACAGTTTCTAGCTACTGAGGAAAGATGGAAGTGGACACTTGACCCAGCGTCCACCACGTAGGCAACAGTGCGTTTCCAGAAGGAGGAGCCTGTGACCTCAAGGCCGTGCGGGTACCTTAGGATTCACACACACAGGTGACGTCATCATTCCTCAAACCTGTGCTTAGAGCTCTTGCGTTGAACTTAGCTCTTAATCACTGACTGCCTCCCGACATTTCTTGAATGTTGTAGTGCTGTTGCACTCTAGACTTAACTGTTAACCTTTTTTAAAAAGTACTGTATGTCTGTTTGCTTGTTTTGTAGCCGCCAACCTAAACCTGGTCTCAGTAAAGGACGTCACTCAGTTCCTGAAACATGCCCTTACGTTTGTTTTCTATTTTCTTTGTAGGAATGCATTCAGTTGACCCTTCCAAGTTCCAGCTAACACGTAGTCCCTTCCAAAAAGCCTTGCTGGATCTACTCAGTTGCATTGAAATAGTCCCTTTTCCAGAGCATTGGGTATGTGCCTTGCTTGGGCCACTGTTCCTAAGTCGGGTTTGTGTTCTGTGATTTATGCACATGTCACCAGCAGAAATCTGCTCTGAACATCCTCGTATAGGCTGTGTTCCTGTTCTTGCTCCTATAGCATCTTAACAATCTAATATTATCACTTGTTACCCATTCCTTTAAGGTCTGATTTATTTGCCTTCTCCAGACTATAAAACTCTTTAGTGGCAGGAATCCTGGCTAGTTCTACTTTGCATTTCCAGCACCTTCTTCAGGACTCCAACACTACTGAACAAACTAGCTATTCAATGGCTGAATGGACTTGTTGCCTATTTCATGAAATTGCTAGGGGCAGACTTGACCATGTTTATATTTATATCTCAGAACCAAAGATTTTCTGGGAAGTTATGAGTACCCTGTAAATCTTGAACTACTCTAAAATGCACATGGTCACACTCATAGAATGAAAAAAAAGTGTTGGCGGTAGGGTTAGATACTTAGCAGAGCAAGAAGTATGAGATCCAGGGGAGAAAAGGTAGTCATTTCTTCCTGACTGCTGCTGGGGACCTAGAATGAGAGATTTTCAGATGTTAAGGATGAGCAAATAGGCAAATTACTCCAAGGTGTATCAGGGATGTTGCTCCCAGAATGGGGGGGAAATGACGCAAAGAAGAGTCTTGAAAAGATCCAGCAGCGAGCAGTGTTTGCTTCCTCTGAACTGGTAGCACTTGTTCCTTTGCCTAATTAGGCACAATAAAGTCAGTGGTGTTCTCATATGTAGTATTCTTTTTTTTCTTTTTTTTTCTTTTTTTTAAGATTTTATTGAGGAAGTGGGGGAGGGAAACAGACAAGTTGCTTTCCTTTTGTTCTTCAGTCTAGTTGTGGAGGACGTCACTTCACTGGCCCAAGTTGGCACCATCATTGCGCTCTTCCCGGCTGAGGTAGTCACTCGCCGGCCATTGGACGGCTGCTCACGGCAGCTCACGAAAGCTCACGCCCGCTGCCAGCCAGCCCCACTGCAGCCTACGCCATTGCCGGCGACTCACAGCAGCCCAGCTCCAGGTCGAGCTGTTGTTCACCATCTTAGCTGTAGAGGGAGCAGCGTCACTGGCCCTCATGTGGGATCCAAACCGGCGGCCCTGCTGCTCAGAGCTCGCGTCCCAAGCCAACTCCTAACCAACACGCCACTCAGCCAGTCCTAGTATTGTTCTTTTGATATGCTATTTAACTCATTAGGTGTGTGTGTAAATCCTTACTGAACCTAGTCTTCTTATTCTTGACCATGGCAATGACATTGCCAGACCCCTAGTAGCATGATTCATTCTCACTTTACCCCCGTCTCCGTTCTGTCAGTCTTTGAGTGCCATAAAGTCTTTTTCTTAAATGGTGGTGGTAGCCACCCTGTCTTGGGCCAGTCCAGCCCAACTTCCACCATAGCCCAGACCCCAGAGGGACTTCCTGAAAGGCAGCACATTGAGCATGTCCCCAGACAGCTGAAAAGTCTTCCATGGCTTCTCCTTGCCTCAGAGAGAAATGAACAAAACTTCTTCAATGGCTTTTGATACTTCATCCTCAACTAATTTCTTCAGCCATGTCTCCCACTACTTTTGCAAGAGCCATTCTGTTCCCGGATGTTGAGAACTTGCAGAAATCTCATGCCTATCAAGTTCCATATGCACACAAGTTTATCTACCTAGATCTCTCTGCTCAGGCCCTCTCTCCCACGTGAATCTCATCTGCTTTCTAGGTCTGTGAGCGCGTTCATGCCACATACCCCTGGTGTAGCTCTTACTCTGTTTTGTAAATATTCTGTATGTGTTTACGTGTCTCATCTTAGCTGGAGTGTGAGCTACTTGAGGGCAGGAGCCTTGGCTTATTTTATTCATATTTGAAACTCTAACGCCTACCGGGGCGTCTGGCACAAAAATGGACACTCAGTAACTGTTCATTGAATGAATGAATGCGTTGAACGCTCCATGAAGGAAAAAAGCTATTACGTTTCATGGACCCTCACAAAGCCATACCCAGTATTATGCCAGTAATAAGTAGTTACTTAAAATCACAACAAATGAATGAAAGGGTAGTAACGAGGTCTGGAAAACCTACCACATATCAGGAAGTTGATGATTCCCATTCATTAGCTCCGTTCATCCCCCATCAACCCTATACTGTTGGCACTGGTGCAGATAAGGAAAGCAAAGCTCAAGGCGGGGACTGACTGGCCGGGCCAAGGTCACACTTGTAGTTGTTGGCCAAGGATATGATTACAAGTTCACCTAATTTGGAATTAGACTATGATGGACGGTTTCCCGCTGCCGCTCATGCTGCTGGTGGCTTGCACGTCCTCTTGTCTTCACCCGTGGTGTCGTGGCCATAGGCTTCCACCTTTCATCCGACAGATCTCAGTGCTCCATTTGCTTCAACAGGAAGAAATAGGACTGCATTGTATGCAGTGAATATGCACAAGTCAGGCTAAATGGAGCGGCCATGTTTTTCTTTTTTTCTTTTTGTAGAATTATATTTCTATAACTGAAATAAAGATTAGCTTTAGAGTACAAAGCTTTGGCATGTAAGCATGGGATGTTTAAAATTGGCCTTTGGGAGATGAAGGCCCCAGCTGACGCCTTTTTGGAAGCTAGAAAATGAAAATATTTTTGAGTTACTGACATTGTCAGCTCATGAAGAGCTATGGTGAATGTTGGTATTTAAAAGGCAGTTCTTATGGGCCGGCCGAGTGGTGCGATGGTTAAGAGCTGGTTTCGGATGTCAGACGCCCCCCCGGTTCGGATCCCACATATGAGGGCCAGTGACACTGCCCTCCACAGCTAAGATGCTGAACAACAGCTCAACCTGGAGCTGGGCTGCCATGGGTTGCCGGCGACGGCGTAGGCTGCAGCCCCTGTGGCAGTGGGTTGCCATGGGCTACCGTGTGTAGCCAGCAGCCAGTGTGAGCGGCCAGCAGCCGCAGTGAGCGGCCGTCCAGAAGCCGGCGACTGATCTGCCTCGCCAGAGAAGAGCGCAATGATGGTGCCAACTTGGGCCAGTGAAGCAACGTCCTCCACAACTAGACTGAAGAACAAAAGGACAGCAACTTGTCTGTTCCCATCTCTCCAATTCCCCAATAAAAATCTTTTTTTAAAAAAAAGGCAATTCTTCAAAAGCAGGATTGAAAAAAAAAGGCCATGTGTATTTGTGTGCCTCATGAGGAGGAGGGGAAAAACACTTAGTTCTCTTCTTGGGGGACTCCTTTGCTCCTGGATTAGTGAGAGGCACCTGGATCTGAGTGTGGGCTCCAGCAGAGTTACAAGCACGCCCTTGACTGGAAGGCACTCCCCTCTACTTGGGAAGGTCAACACCTCTGACTAGAACGTAAACTTGTAGAGGGAGGTGGTGAATGAGGGGCAGGCTGGGAATGACAGCCCACAATCCCCCGGCTAGGCAGACCAGTCACCCTGCACGAACATATGTAGCAGGCCTGAGTGACATGTACAAGGCACATCTCTGCCTACTTTGGCAATTTACATGGTCCTGATTATACCTTTGATAATACAAATCAATATTTATTGAATGCCTGCCGGCTATCATCTGAAAAACTTCAATGAATTTTATTGTACAAAGTTTGATCTAAAGATTTGATGGACACGTATCCACTAGAACCTGGAGATGACATCTGGTTCGTCCATTTCAAACAATCCAATATATCATGATGCCCGGTGAATATAAAGCTTTTTATATACCCTTCCTCCCCCCTCCCCCTTTTTTTTTCCCCTCCTAGCTTTACCAATAGAGCTGCCAGAAAGTGAAATTAGCTGCTTTTGCGGGTACCTGGGAGTGCTGGGGAAACCGCCTTTAGTAGAATGAGCCCCCTGCTCCGTTGTCCAGGAAGAGTGCAAACAGGCTTGGACCCTGGATCACTCTGTGGAGGAAAGCTGACCTCCACGTAGGAACATTTGATTTGGCCTATTATATCGGCGAGAAATAAACGAACACTTGGGAGGTTGTTTGTTATAGAAGCAAGCTTTACTCAGTGGATTAATTGGAAAAGTAAATACTACGACGGTTATTTTCGCCCCTATTTGTGGAACTGCTCACACAAGTAGGGTTAAATTTTTAATTTTGCAATGCCCAATTAAGTGAGCCTCTGCTTCTAGTAATCTTTATTATATTGCTTCCAAGTCTTGGATGGCCGTACGCATAGTAGGTCACTGTGACTGCTGGAAAATTGTGTGCAGATCCAGAAGCTGATAGTTAAAAAAAAAAAGGTCTACCCAGGAGGAACCAATACATACATATATACCTACATACATACATACTTAGCCTCCCTCTCTCTCTCTCTCTGTGTCTCTCTCTCATACATACACACACACACACACACACACACGCGCGCGCTACAAAATAGTAGGATACAGAGTTAAGCAGCTTTCACCATTTTTACTATTAGCATCAGTATCTTCTTCATCACATTTTAAGTTAAGAAGCTTAAAGAAGTCTGAAATAATAATCTTGGTTCTTCTCAGGACCTCGGGAAGAATGAATGAGTGGTCCCCAGGAAGGTGGTGGGGGCTGCTTTTTCTGTGAGTCATCATCACAACCTCTCTCTGATGTTTGTCCTATGACCTCATGTGGCATGCTGCGTTATGCCAGGCATCTGTGATTGAATGGCCCTCCAGCTCCTCCAGAATGACTGCATAGATGGAATTTCCTCTTGATATTTTATGTGAGAACCAGGGTGAAGGACTGCAGCATGACTGAGTGAGCTTTCCATTCTCCCTGAGGATGGGGTGCCAGGGTCCATTCCCTGCAGGCCAAGATTTTGCCCTGGGGCAAACCGTTCAGTCTTTCTGTTGGACTGACAATCTGGATCAAGCTAGAGGCTAATAGCCATAATGCACTAACAACAAGAGAGGTGAGTTTTGTTGAATTACAATAACATCCATGCTTCCAGGGGAGCTGCAGAACTCATTCCTGTCAGATGTACTGAAAATCAACAGTGACATCCCCCTGCCCTGTGC